TCCCTCTTCCCGGCGACGGCACCACCTCGGGAGGAGCAGCCCCAGGGCGGGGCTGGCACGGGACCGGGAGTATCCCTGGCACCCGGAGGAGCTGCGGAACCCTGGATGGGATACACAAGGGAAAGCTGGACCATGCCCGTGGGATGGACTAAGGCCCCGGCTGGGATGCTGGAGGCCAGGGACATCTCTGATCGGGGGGCTGCAAAGCCAGAGCACACATTCTGCTTGCACTCGGGATCACCCGAGCTCTGAAGGCCAGCTGTTGACCAGCCCCATCCCTCCAGGCTGGGGAGCTCCTTCAGCCACAGGGTCCTCAGCCAACTGCTCCAGCTCCCCAGGCTCCCTGAGCAGCCTGAAGGGAAGAGGAGGGAGCCCCTGTGTGAACCCCAATTGGCAAACCAGCCTCTGCGGCCACCACCCCACCCGGAGCTCCCACCAAAGCTCTAACTGACTGAGCCAAACACAGCCCTGATCTGTCTGCTGAAGGGATGGTAGCATCCCTGCTCCTCTGAAACTCAATCCACACCTATTAGTTTGACTTTCCCCTTTCCAGTCATTCCACTGAATGAATAGTCCCATTAAAATAAGTCCTTCAACACCAAACAGAGCCTGGACCATGTTACAAATAGCAACAGGTTCCAGAAGGGTTTATATTAATCTAATGCACTTGCTTTATTAACAACGGAAGCATAAGGGTTTTACAGAAGTTCAAGACTTTATTAATTCAACTCAGTTAAGCTAAATTTAAGTGTTATATTTTCTGGTGATTTCCTTTTACTAATTATTCAGTTGCAAGTCATTTACAAAGTGTTTATCCTAGAAAAAAAGCTGTTATAATTAAATAAAAGGAAAATATTTCTGTTTATTAGTATATTTCTAAATTTGTATGTGGGAATACTATAATGTTGGGATGCCTTCTGACTCAAAGTTATGCATTGGTACGAGGCCTGAAAAAGCATATTAATGCACTAATAATGTTATGCAACGCTCCTGAGGAGGGATTTTACAAGTTGTGGTCTTTACCACCTGAAAGCACTAAATATCTTTTTCTCACTTGTTTTACACACTGGGCCTATGACACAGTGTACGCTGGTTCTGCAGGACACGATGGTAGTACAGCAGCACGGTGGATTTTCACTCATGATAGCTTGGCGATAGCTCATTGCCAGCCTTGCCAACGCATTTGGGTTATTTTTTTCACTCAAATATTTAGCTGAAACCCCAGATCTAAATGTAAAAGGGCAGTTCTGCCGAGAAAAAGTCAAAAAAAGCACTGGAGACAGGCATCGCTCCTGCTCAGGGAAGCATCCTATCCAAAGGGGAACTACCTGCTCCCCTACAAACAAACGCGAGTTACAAGTCGATCTGGAGAACTAAATTTGGAAACCACGCAATCGACTCCACACAGCAACCCGGGCCCAGGCTGGCACCAGCCGCAGGGAGTTTTCCTCACAGTGCCCATCTCCCAGAGGTGTCAGGAACCGAGTGGGGCCCAAGTTGAGATCTGTCACTGTGTACGTCCCCGTGCCGTCTCTTTGGCACGAACCCACCATTTTTGTGCCCACACAGGGCACTGACCCCCTAAAGCCTCTCCTTCCCCGGCAGCCCCACGCTGGGAAGCGGGAGGTACCTCAGTCTCCTCAGCGTCCGGCC